GCAGGGATACGACTGCCGAATGGCGGTACCTCGGGGTCGATTTCCGGCCGGCAGGACGAAGAAAGTCGGCTCGAATATATCCATATATCTGAGCCGGCTGAGCAGAGCACCTCTGAAGCCCCAGCAGCGGCTAAAGATCGTCCGCTGCTTTCTTCTTCCTCGCCTCTACCACTCGCTGGTCCTGGGTAGGGCCACACTTGGAAAATTGAGAGCTCTCGACGTCACAACCCGCGCAGCGGTTCGCAGATGGCTTCGTCTTCCGCACGATGTTCTGACGGCCTTTTTCCACTCACCAGTTTCGAGTGGCGGTATCGGCATCCCGCTCTTGCCACCACGGTTCCAAGTTTGCTGCTTAGTCGTCTGCGCAGCCTGGATCTTCGACAGCCCCGCAGGTTGGGGCATCGCCCACAACACCTGGGCGGAGCGCAGGGGGAATGGGCCCAGCGGGCCTGACCCGCGATGGGGTGTGCTTGGCCTCCAAACACCGGCGGGATGTGTGGTGGTCCGGTCGACTGCATCAGTCAGTCAAAGGATACGAATTGCGGGAGTGTCCGGGGTCAACCTGTCTCCTGGTGGGTGGATCACGGTAGCCACGCCATTCCCGGTCGTGATTATGTCCAGTACGTGCATGTTCTCGCCAATACCCTCCCGACGCGTATACGTACGTCTAGGGGGGTGAGGCGGGAGCAGTATGCCCGGATGTTGTGCAGGCTGTAATTCAACAGAGACAGCCGCGCACGTCATCCAGGGGTGTTTCCGCACCCATGGTGACCGCGTCCCAGGCACAACGCAGTGTGCAGAGTCCTGTGGCGTTACTGTGACTTTACTATAGCATTTTAAGTCTACACTTACACCACATATACTCTTACACCTTATACGTTTTCACACCGTTTTCGTTACTATGTTACAGACCATTTGTTTATTAAAGACAGACTTCAATTATTCTTATCACACAATTTATTGTATTAACATTTATTAATAAAAGCTCCTTTAAAAAGTATCTCTAGTTAAAAGTTACTACATTTTGGTGACCCCGACGTGATAAGTGATCAAACAGGGAATATCCTCTTGAGCGGGAAATTCAATTCTGAATTTTGGAAAGATTTCTATACGTGGTCAAGAATCTTCGAACTTTGATTTCCGGATCGTTTCCTATCGTCGTTGGAATAACAACCGAGATGCCTTTAGATAGATCTCCTCCTAGATCTGAGACAACTCACTCTACTGTTTCGTCTACTTCAACTGCTTTGACGTCTTCGACAGGAGAACATTTTAAATCAGGTGGGATCGGAAATTTTAAATTCACCCTCTGGAAATATGCAACAGCAGTCTGGTGAGTCCATTCAGATCCATTCTAATGAATTCGTCTTGTGAAACTTCCTACATTCTGGCATAAACAACCTAAATTGTGGTTTGCTCAAGTCGAAAGCGAATTTTTGATATTTCGTATACGTTCCGAGGAAATAAAATATAATACCGTTATTCGTCATCTCGATGAAAAGGCATTAATTGTCGTTTCGGAAATTGTTGAAAATCCGCCCGAAAACGATAAATATAACGCTTTAAAATCGGCGCTCATTAACCGCTTCACGGATTCAGAAGAAAAAACAGTTACGTCAATTATTAGCCGGAATTGAATTGAATGACAAAAAACCAACGGAGTTGTTACGTGAGATACGCCAATTATCCGGTGGATCTTAGCGGATAATATATTACATTCACTTTGGCTTCAACGTTTGCCATACCAAGGTCAAGCAACATTAGTGTTGTTGAGGATGTACCTTTAATCAAGCTAGCTGAACTCGCGGATAAAATAGTCGAACGTGATACCGGATATCAAATAACCGAAGTAAACGCTTCTTTAAAATCAAACAATCGGATCTGGCTGATTTAGAGAAAAGAATTGCTGCGCTGGAAGTTTTTCGTCGTCGCGGTAGATCTTTTAGTCGATCTCGAAGTAAAACAAGATTAAGATCTAATTCAAGAGATAAAAAGTCGGATTCTAAGGAACAAATTTGTTTTTATCACAAGAAATTGGAGATAAAGCAAAGAAATGTACAATTCCTTGTACAATGTCAAAAACTCTCTGTCTTACTGATTCAACGGAAAACTAGAAATACCGTTGAAGATAGAGGCAACTTGCAACGGTTTACCTTGTCATTGCCTCGTTATTTTTGACAAGTCGTCTAATTTACAATTTCTTGTTGACACTGGTGCTGACATTTCTTTGCTTCCCAAGAAAATATTATACAAACCGTTATCAACTAATTTAAAACTTTTTGCTGCCAACGGATCACACATTGATACTTATGGATCTAAAACTCTTTCCGTGGATCTTGGTCTCAGGAGAATTTTCCGTTGGAAATTTTGCGTGGCGGACATACAACGTCCCATTTTAGGCGCAGATTTCCTCGGACATTTTAATCTCCTTGTAGATGTTAAAAACAAACGTCTAATTGATTCCTTAACAGGTCTTAAAAATGTGTGGAAGGATACAAGAAGTTTTGCAGTTATCAGTTTGTACCACATCTCCAGATTCTTCTTTTCACAAGATTTTAGCAGAATTTTAAGGACTTACTCATTTGCCCCTTTTTCATCGGTAAACTCACATGGAATTGAACATCGGATTGTTACGGAAGGTCCTCCGAAATTTGCAATTCCCAGAAGACTTTCTCCGGAGAAACTGAAGTATGCTAAAGAAGAATTTAAATTCATGATGGACCAAGGTATTTGTAGACCATCATGCAGTACGTGGGCAGCACCTTTGCATATGGTTTCAAAAAGGGAAAATGTATGGAGACTTTGTGGAGATTATCGTGCGTTAAATTCGGTCACTGTTCCTGATCGATATCCATTGCCTCACATACAAGATTTCACTGCGGAGCTCTACGGTAAGAATATCTTTTCTAAAATTGATCTTGTTAAAGCGTACTATCAAGTACCCGTTGCAAAGGAAGATATTCCTAAGACCGCTGTAACTACACCTTTTGGACTTTTCGAATTTTTGGTTATGCCTTTTGGTCTTCGTAACGCAGCTCAAACATTTCAAAGGTTTATGAATATATTGTTAAATAATTTAGATTTTGCATTTTGCTATCTTGACGATATTCTCATAGCTTCTAGAGATGAGTCAGAACACATCACTCATTTGCGAATTGTTTTTGATCGTCTACAGAAAGCTGGATTGTCACTTAATGTATCCAAATGTCTTTTTGGTCAAAAAGAAATTACTTTTCTCGGATATCTTGTCTCTAGTCAAGGAATCAAACCTACAGAACAAAAAGTCAAATCGATTATTGACTATCCCAAACCTAAGACAATACATGATTTAAGAAGATTTATTGGCATTATTAATTATTATCGTCGTTGCCTTAAAAACGCAGCTGAACATCAAGCATTACTTACAAACTTTTTGAAGGACAGTCGCAAGAGAGATAGAAGAACTATTCCTTGGTCTATGGAGACAGAAGCAGCTTTTCAGAATTGCAAAGAAGAACTTCTCCGTGTGACTACCCTCTCTCATCTGCTCCTCAAGTTCCTTTGATTCTTACTTGTGATGCTTCTGATTTCGCTGTAGGAGCATCACTTGAACAGACAATTGAAAATGTCAATAACCAATTGCATTCTTTTCTAAAAAGCTTGATAAAACTCAAAAGAACTACAGTACTTATGATAGAGAACTTTTAAGCATTTATTTAGCAATTAAATATTTCAGATATTTGCTTGAAGGACGACAACTCATTATTAGGACAGATCACAAACCTTTAATTTATGCTTTTCTTCAGAAACCTGACAAAACTTCACCTAGACAAATTAGGCAACTGGATCTTATTGCTCAATTCTCTACTAATATTGTCCACATTTCAGGCAAGTTAATTCTGTAGCTGATGCTTTATCAAGAATTGAGTCAGTTTCAATGCCAATCATTGTCTCTCTGGAAGAATTAGCAGAATTTCAAAAGGATGATGAAGAACTTCAAGATCTCCTTTCTTTGAACTCTTCACTCCAACTAAGGAAACTTATGCTTACTGGCTCATCTGTACCTATATATTGTGACTGTTCCTCTGAGTTAATTCGTCCATACGTCCTAAACCTCTTCGTAAAAGAGTTTTGATGTAGTACATGGCCTCGCACATCCCAGTGGAAGATCTACAGCTAAACAACTTCTACAGAAATTTATTTGGCCGTCATTGAATAAAGACGTTAAAGAGTGGACTCGCACTTGTCTACCTTGCCAACGTTCCAAAATTTCAAGACATACAAAAATGTCCCTGTTAAATCGCGGTTCCTGATCAGCGTTTTCAACATGTACATTTAGATTTAATAGGCCCTCTTCCTTCTTGTCAAGATTCCGTTATTGCTAACAATAATAGATCGTTTCTCGAGGTGGCCTGAAGCCTTTCCACTTAAAGAAATAACTGCTGAAACAGTTTCGACAGCTTTCTATTCTCATTGGGTAGCTAGATATGGATCTCCTATAACTATTACTACAGATCAAGGCCCCAATTGAAGCATCTCTCTTTAAAGCATTAACTAATTTGATTGGATGTGATCGCAAGAGAACTTCTGCTTATCATTCAGCTACAAACGGAATTTGGAAAGATGGCATAGGACTGTCAAGACTGCAATTATGTGTCATCAGACGAAGAATTGGTTGGAATCTTTACCTACTGTCTTCTTGGTTTTCGTTCGTGCTTCAAAGAAGACTTGAAAACTTCACCTGCTGAATTACTGTATGGAACTACTCTTCGGTCCTGGTGAATTCTTTATTGAGGAAGATTTTCCAGCAGATCCTGAAATATTTTTAGAGAAACATAGAATACATATGAGGAATATTAGATCTTCTCCTACTCATCATCACACCAAAAAATCACCTTTTGTACACAAAAATCTTTATGATTGTACTCACGTATGGCTTCGTGAAGATGCAGTGAAGAAATCTCTTCAATCACCATATTCTGGTCCTTTTCTTGTTAACAAACGAATTTCTGATTTTTTTTTTTACTATTGACATTTCAGGAAAATTAGTCAACGTCTCAACGGAACGTCTGAAACCAGCCTTTTTTCCAAGGAAGATTCTTCTGTTCTTCTTTCATCCTCTTCGAGAACTTCATCTACATCTACAACCACATCAGTTGTACCATCAGTTGTGCCTGCAGTTCCTACAACCACCTCAGTCATACCTGCATCTACTATTTCACCAGATTACCCTAGTACTTCTTCTACTGCTTCTTTCGGAAAATCATTACGAACTTACCCAGCTAAGAAGAAAGTCCATTTCGCAACGTAGTCGTCGCTTGGGGGGGAGGACTGTGGCGTTACTGTGACTTTACTATAGCATTTTTAAGTCTACACTTACACCACATATACTCTTACACCTTATACGTTTTCACACCATTTTCGTTACTATGTTACAGACCATTTGTTTATTAAAGACAGACTTCAATTATTCTTATCACACAATTTATGTATTAACTTTATTAATAAAAGCTCCTTTAAAAAGTATCTCTAGTTAAAATTACTACAGTCCTAGCGTCAGGACTGAGGAACGTGGGCTGGACCGTACGAGAGAAAAACCGTCGTACGTCACAACCGAGGGCAAACGCAAGCCTGACTTGCTTTGCCTGCGTGGCCCCAAGGCCGTTGTGGTGGACGCACAGGTCGTCAGCGGAGCGACTCCCTTATCGGACGCCACGAGCGGAAGGTCCGCTATTACGCGGACAATGTTCGCTCGGGGAGGCGATCTCGAGGGAGACCGGCGTACAACAGCCGGACATCGAGTTCTCCTCCTGCACCATTTCATGGAGGGGGATTTGGTGTTGTCAAGTCTGCTGACTGGCTGTTGGGCATGGGTTAAAGAAGGGGTTATTACGGGGAATCACAACCAGGGTGTTGCGGGGCAGCCATACAAACTGGAACCGGTGGAACCAAATGACAGCTCTGGTTCCCACCAGATCCGTGCAGCGGGATCAAGAGGGAATCGGGTGAGGGACCGGCGATTAATGTTTTATGTTCCCCGGGGGAACCCGCCCCCCCCATTGTTCGTTCGTGTCCGTCCTGTTGTCCTGGGGTCCTCTCGTTTGATGGACCCCTGTAAGACCCCCTTACTGTTGTCTTCGTCCTCCTTGAGGGCTTGGCTATACCCTCCTTTTCTGTTGGTGGGCAACGCATCAAAAAAAAAAAAAAAAAAAAAAGCCAAATGCCTCGTCATCTAATTAGTGACGCGCATGAATGGATTAAACGAGATCCCACTGTCCCTATCTACTAACCCACAGGTCAACCAGCATAACATCCAGAGCTGAGTCGCCGTTGGACGTGGGGTGTGTCAGCGGAACCCCGAAGCCAAGGTGGGAAACAGGGTGCCGAGGGCTGCATGGTCGTGGGGGTGGTACACTGCCGTAAACGATTCCGTAGGGCACCTGGCGCAACCCTGCGGTAATTAAGTCGCCTTACTCGGGTACTGGGGGCTCTGTTTGAGCGGACTTTGCGACTCGCCAGAATCGTGGGATTAATTATGAAAAACAAAATTCAACAAATACACGGTAACCGAGATACATGACGATGACAATGGCACACAAAACGGATAAAGATAAGGATAAGGAACAGGACCCTTTGAGAGAAGGGAGTCCATCCCCAGATCGCCGCCATCTGCCAAAATGGTGGTGGCTGGAGGAGCGGGCAGGCCTTGCTCAGCTCCGCTTGAGCAAGGCGTGGAGGCGTATAACTCCCCAGCTGAGAGGAGGACGGCAAGGCCACATGGCACAAAGATCTTGAGAGAGGCCGACGATGTATTCGTTTTTCCTGGCCCCAGTGCGCCAAGGCCGCAGAAGGAAAAGGTGCGGAGGATGTTAACAAGAAGTTCTTAGCTCCTGGAGACGCGGATGTGTGTGGGTAACGAGCCTTGTGGGGAACGAGAGTTCCTACTTGCATTCCGGAGCCGGAGGTGGACTCATGATAGAGCACGACAGTTTTGGAGCAATATCGGCTTTGGAAATTAAACATAGATTAATGAGGACTAAAAAGTCCACCGCGCCGGGCCCGGATGGCCTGAAGAAAGCCGCGTTTCTCGGTGCGCACAAGAGCGATGTGTTGGCTGGGCTGTTTAATCTAATTATGGCCTCGGGGATCATACCGCTGCTTGGAAGTAAAACAAAACCACCTTGATTTCCAAGAGGGTAAAGACGGAGTAAGGTCACTAATTACCGACCTATTACTATTGGCTCGTTGCTTGGCCGGGTGTTTTGGGGCATTATGGATGAGCGTCTCCGATCGACTGTCCAAATTAGCTCGAGGACAGAAGGGGTTGTAGCGGAGGCGGGATGCTTCGCGAATGTGCAGATTTTGCACGAGCTAACCTGTCACATGAAGGAGAATCGGGGCGGGGTTGGTATTCAGTTGGACGTCGCCAAGGCGTTCGACACCATCCCGCACGAGGCGATACCTGCGGCCCTAAGGCGGAAAGGAATTCCGCAGCCAATTGTGAACCTTATAAGGGATTCATATGAGGGTGTCACCACCACGATTGGCCACCCGATGGGGGGATAGAGATTGGGCTCCAGCGGGGGGTCAAGCAGGGCGACCCATTATCTCCCTTCTTTTTCAACCTGGTGCTGGATCCTTTACTGGAGAAGCTGCAGGCTATGCCTGGCTACCCAATCGGTAAAGATAACAACATATCCTGCCTTGCTTTGCCGAGACTTATTTTTGTTTGCGTCGGACCCTCTTGAGGCGCAGGCGCTGCTCGACTGCACGGTGGAGGAGCTAGGCTCGCTTGGCATAACTGTTGCCGCGAATAAAAGTTGTGCATACCAAATTAGGACAACCAAGGATTCTTGGTATATGGTGGATCCGGGTATGGAGCGAATAGGGGAAAAACTTCCGGCCTGCACACCTGGTAACAGACTAACATACCTGGGATGCTCCTATTCGATTTCGTCCGGGTTTGACTTAAGTGCAATAGGTGCACATCTGAGCGGTGTTGTAGCGGTGAGCTAGGGTGAAAGCCCTGAAACTCAAACCGATGCAGAAGGTGGGTCTGCTCCAGACATTTCTGGTGCCGCATTACCTTCACCAGTTTGACGATTGCTGCGCCGCCTAAAACTCTCCTGATGGCTATAGACCAAGAGCTTAGGGTAGCCGTGAAACAGGTTTTACATTCCGCAATCAATATGTAACGGCGTGAGTGATTTATTGCCCGAAAAAGGACGGTGGTCTGGGGTTCCCCAAGCTGCAGAGCTTGTCCAAGGGTCTCTTTGGCCGCCGGTCTGAAATTCAGGGAATCAAAGGGCCCGGCTATCGGAGCGCTGTTGAACTGCTCAGGATGGCCTTGCGAATGAGAAAGTTGGCGAATAGCGTTAGGCTGAACTACCCGTATACCGCGGCAGATCTGAGAAAAATAAGGACGCGTGCCGAAAGACCTGAGCTCAAAAGATGGCGCGAGTGACGGCTCAGGGCCAGGCTGTGGATGTACTGGCGGGAGAGACAAATTGGGAACTCTTTTCTACGAGATCCAAACCTATTAAAGCCCTGTAGGTTCACAACAGCTCTTCAGCTTCGAACAAACACGGCAGGTAACAGAACCAGCTTGAACAGGGCTATCTCGCAGCAAGATCTGAATTGCAGGAAATGTAAAATGAGCAAAGAAACGCTTGCTCATATACTGGGCCAGTGCATTCACACCAGGCCTCTAGAATCCGCAGGCATAATATATAAAAGATTTCGTAGAGCAAACGGTCTGCGGAACTGACAAAGGGGCAACCATCACTAAAGAACCTGCCATACCTCTCGCTGAGGGAGGTAATTCAAAACCCGACCTGATCATTAAGAATCAGGGCGGGGTCTTCGTGGTCGATGTAACAGTCCGCCACGAGGATGGGATTACCTCCGAAAAGCCAAGACAGAAAAAAGAGGAGAAATAGGATAGGTTATTGCCACGATTAAAGCGTCAATATGGTACGGACAAAGGTAAGATCTTGCCAGTCGTAATGGGCACCAGAGGTGCTATGCCCAGCGACACGATAACAGCACTGGCTACGCTGGGTATAAAACAAATTAAAGACCTGAAAACAATATCTTTAATGGCGTTGAGGTCATCGATAGAGATGTATCACGCCTTCATGGACTACGACAGTCCGCTACTGTAAATGGCCACGATATGCTATGGGTTTCCCCCTCATACTTTAGTGCATGTTTATTTGTAGGTCGTCCGTATGTTAAGCCGTAGACAATGTCCCGTTTTTAAGTTATTATATCTTTAGAGTTTTACGTTATTTAAAGTTTTATTTATTACATATGTACATCTAGTTTTATCTATTAAGCTATTTATTTATGGGATCCCCGCCTAAATGGGACAGCGAAAATCCCCTAACACAGTCGAGCGAAATGGTGAGTAAGCTCAACTGCGTAAACGCACTCACAAAAATTAAGAAGACCACATACGTTGGAAGTTTACGCATCAGCGTATAGGAATAGCCAAATGCCTCGTCATCTAATTAGTGACGCGCATGAATCGATTAACGAGATTCCCACTGTCCCTATCTACTGTCTAGCGAAACCACTGCCAAGGGAACGGGCTTGGAAAAATTAGCGGGGAAAGAAGACCTGTTGAGCTTGACTCTAGTCTGGCACTGTAAGGAGACATGAAAGGTGTAGCTAAGTGGGAGATGGCAACATCGCCGGTGAAATACCACTACTTTCATCGTTTCCTTACTTACTTGGTTAGGCGGAGCGCGTGCCCGAGGGCTTCGCGCCCCGGCGGTCACGGTGTTCTAGAGCCAAGCGTGTCAGAGAGTGGCCTCGGCCGATCGCCGTTAATACTCCGCGTGATCCGATTCGAGAACACTGCCAGGCGGGGAGTTTGATTAGGGCGGTACATCTGTCAAAGAATAACGCAGGTGTCCTAAGGCCAGCTCAGCGAGGACAGAAACCTCCCGTAGAGCAAAAGGGCAAAAGCTGGCTTGATCTCGATGTTCAGTACGGATAGAGACTGCGAAAGCACGGCCTATCGACTTTTTGGCTTAAGAGTTTCAGCAAGAGGTGTCAGAAAAGTTACCACAGGAATAATTGGCTTGTGGCGGCCAAGCGTTCATAGCGACCGTTTTTGATCTTCGATGTCGCTCTTT